TAGGGAAAGTAGAACCACATCTGTTTGCAAATGAATGTAAAACAAAGCAGAGGGGTAAACAGCACAGTAGCAAATTATTCCCTCTCTTTGATTTATGGCATATATTCTGAAAGATTCGGTTCCTTGCAGACATTAAGTGCCAATGTTCTTTTCATTATTTTTTATTTTTTTATCCAATAATGTCGTTTTGAAGTAATCTTTTGATCAATCAGACTAGCGCGTACATAAAGTATGCACATTATATTTCCACCAGTAAACTTTCTGGGAGCTGTAATTTTTTGATGCATATATATAGAACAACATTCTCTAGGAAATTTAATCCTTGATAAGTGGAAAAAAAGCATATGGATGATTAGATGCTTTTCTTATTCATCAAGATTTAGGAAATAAGGCCATGTTCTTGATTTCCTTATGTTACGTTCACCAGTTTTGATTGGGGGAGAGAAAAGATGACAAATGGGCTTTGAGAAGAGTGTGATTCAATGAACCAGTCATTCTGGACCCTCCTGTAAGTTAAAAGATTGGCTTCCAGGTTTGGTCTTGTCCATTATTGGACAAGAAAACTCCTAAGTGTTTTAAACGAAAATACAGATTTTTTTTTTTTTTAAAGCAAATAGAAGTCTGCTGATAATGGTTTCTTTCTCACCCATCACAGAAAACAGGATTTCATCAGTCAAGCTTCAAAACCCACTCATTTAGTGCCTCTAGGGACCCCTTGTGACCAGCCAAGTGTAGGCTCAGCAGTGTGGCCACAACGCACTGTGTTGCAGCAACTTGTCTTCTTGTCCCCATTCAAATCTCTGAACCACAGCCTCTGAGAAATGGACAGAAGGGAACTTTGAGAAGTTAGTATTACTTGATCTGCCTCCTCTACTTTGTATTTATGAGAATTTTCATCCTTTGGGCAACTAAATCCATTTCCATTCCCATTGCAAGGCTAGAAAGAGCACCAGGAAAGCAGCTAGGGGACTTCCTTAACGCTATAGATCTGGCCACACTTTATTCCAGTGTATGACTGCAGCTTGTGTGGACACATATCTGGAGTAGTTTTATATTCTCCGTCTTTGTACTACTGGTGGTGTAGCTTTGGAACTGTATCACAGGCTGCAAAACCCTTCTGAGAAGTGAGGCACTATTTCGGTGATTAGCCTAGGCTGGCCTCCTCTTTGTGACACTTATGCTGAAACAACTGTGAGGGCAGATTAAAGACCTGTCTAGCACAGTATCCTCTCTCTGACAGTGGCCAGGAGGGAAAAGTACAGGAACAAGATGAGCACATGAAGTTACTTTTCCATATTACTCAACCACCCTTCAGCAATTTGTTGCTTAGAGGCTTCCTAAGCCAGAGGTGGTCTTAGTGGATTTCTCTCCCCCTCTTCATGTCTCTAATCTCTTAGTCAACTCATGTCAAGTTCTGGCATCCAGCACATCCTGTGTCAATGAGTTGTACAGTTTCCCTATGTGCTGTAAAGAGAACTACTTCCTCTTACTGATTTTGCATTGCCTTCCCTATAATTTAATTTGATGCCCCTGTTCCTGCTTGAGAAGCACAGGAGAGTGAGGAATCATTCCTTAGTTACATTCATTAGGCCAGTCATGATTCTGGGCTCTGTAAAAAGAGAGTTCTACCACCTCATCATCTTTCTTTGATGCTGCAAACTTTTAGCCTATTTAGTAACTCCTGACTTGGAAATTGTTCCATTCCTTGTTGCCATTTGATGTTCCTTTTGTTCCCTTGTTATTTGAGCTGCTCAGCTAGCTTGAGGACCTGTGTAATTAAAGGTGTGGAGTTCTTGGATGCGTTTTGTAGTCGTTGCTAAGCTCATGCTTCTGCAGCTGATGCTGTTGTTAATACTCAAGTTAATTAGTTTACAATCAGTCTGGGAATTTATATTTTAGTTTCAGTCTCATGGTGGCATTTTAGGAGGTAAAGCACTCAATAAGTAATACTCCCAGCACTGCTAATGAGGTGAAAATCAAGCGCGAACAACTAGTTCAACTGAGGGAGAAGTGGAAGGATTGAGAGGAAAAATATTTTCTTTTGTCAGAATATGTGTTTTTGTGTGTGTGTACACACAAATAAAAATGCAGGTGTTGTTAATGTGGTAGAAATTAGCAGTGGAAAATATCTTTCTTTTGCAGCAGATGGCTGCTAAACAGGTGTGCTGGCTCAACTTACGCCGTTTTAATGGTAATGTTTTCCTCCTTAGGTCTTGAACTATGAGGTGCTAAAGGTTTGATCCTAACAGTGCTAATCAAACCAGATTGTGCTTTTCTCTGTAATTCCACTTTGGGTTTCTGAATTAATTATATTATCTGAATCAGAGAGGAAAACAGAGTGAAAAAAATTGGTTAACTGAATTTCCATTGCCTCAGTTCACTGCTGAAAGCAGATTGCTCATTATAGCAAGGGGAAATGTTTATTGCTTATCAGCTTACTCTATATGGGGAGCTCTTGTACTAAAATGAATCATAAAATCAACGTATAGAAGCATAATAATTTGACGAGCCAAAAGAAAAAAATCTTTTCAAGCTTTTTATTTATACCTTGCTGGTGGTTATGCCATTCACAATTTAGAATTAAACCAAAGTTGCACAACTTCTCTGTCTTTGCTAATCAGAATTTTGATTCATTTTCTTTGGAAAGTTCATTGCATTCAATTTCATTTTATAAGACTGTTGAACATCTCCAGAAGCCAGCATTTTTAAAACTGTAATTCAATGGTGGCTGTGTAGAGATGCCAGAAAACTGATCAGAATCTATGATCTCTTGTAAAATGTTGCCTCAGGTCAGCTGTCAAGTAAATTGAACACCCTTGTTAACTGCATCCATCTTTGTAACATCTTTTTTTATTGTCATATGTATTTTTTCAAGGATGATGCTATGCATTTAAAACATTTAATTAGAGATCTATTATGTGTTAGTAAATCATTGCAAAGGAAATCAGCCAGCTACTGCTTTGGATTCCACCTTATTCTGGTTCTATTCGGTGTAACAACACCGTTCATCTGTCAGATCGTATTGCTCAGTGAATATTCAGTACCTTGCAGCTTGGCCCTGATAGAATTTAATTCATATAATGTCCTTCAGGAACCAACAAACAGGACACTGCGTCAGGAGCAGTGTCTTACTCCATTTCAAGCAGTTTGGGGGTTGCATTTGACTGAAAAAAAACCCAGAAGAATCAATCAAAGACCAAAAAACCATGCAATAATTTATTTGTAATGCAGATTTTCATACAGTGCAACTTCTTATCCAGAAGCTGTTGCTGTCATACTGAAAATATAGCAACTATGGTTTCATTCTACACAAAGAAAGAGGATTCTTCTCTGAAGAGATCCTCAGAAATTGTATTTTGAATTCATGTGAAATTCTTAATAGAAGAAAATCTGCAGTCTAGAATTTTTCATTGTGGAAACTTACGCTGCTCTGAAATGCATGAAGACTTTATCACTTTGCACCAACAGAGGTTCTGGTCCAACAGAAAATAGAAGTTTAAGCCCTTACATTGCTATACGTGTATTATAGATGAGGAACATGTGGTGCTTCATGTGCAGTATTTTGCTGGTAGTTGCCCAGACAGTGGTGAAACTGGACATATGTCTCAGAATAGACCTTTCAATTTTTTATTACACTGATACGCTGTAGACTTTTTTTTTTTCTATATTGGAAAAGGGCAACGTCATAGAGTGTGCTGTGATACATACTTCTGCTTTGATCACATGAAAATGTGCTTCACACCTGTCAGATCCAATTAACCCAGCTGCTACCCTGAGTCACAAGTTGTACACAGAAAAGACATGGGAGAGGAGGGTATTGGCCCAAGGGAGTAATACAGGGGATAGTCGCTAGAAACTGAAAAACTATAGTAAAGGATTTGGCAATGAGTAATTGTGGAGTTGGAGAATGGAGAAAAGGAAGTAATGTTGGAGTGAAGGATGTGGGAGTGGTGGGCAGTGGGAAGACAGAGGAAGTGGCAGGTTTTTTGGGGAACGTGGGCAATGCATCCTGAGCTGCCTGTCCCTCTCCTATTGCTCACTGTCAACAGAGAACAGCAGCGGCAGAGGAAAGCTCTTCTGACTTGGCCCCTGCTACTCTTTTTTCCCTAGCAATTAACCAAGAAGGTGAACCCAAAGGGTTCATAGCTGCCAAGGAGGATGGGGAGGGGAGGGACGCAGCAGCAGCAGCCCTGTATTGCCCCATCTCTCTGCGGAGCTCTGCCCTCACACCTTGCTCTGGGCACTGGTGCCACATAACTTCCAACGCTTAAGCAATGTGCATAAAAATGCGGTTGCCATTTCAGTGTTTATGGGTTTATTGCAACTTCCCCAACTACATATTAGCAGTGAGTAAATCTAATAAAAATAATGTGTTGGTTAGATTGCCTGTACTTAACTTTTATCACATGTATGTTGAGAAAGAGAAGTTCATTTCCTAAATTATTCTGAGACAGATTGTGTGGCCATAGAGCTAAAGGAAATTCATTAACTTTACCATCTCTCTAAATACCCCTATAGTTTCCTTTGTGTATCTGTAAAACACAATTGTACTCACATTGCTGAAATAAAAGCTGTTCAGCTTTGTTAAAAGATTTGAAAAATAGTGCTACACGCCCCTTTCTCAGAAAAGTTAAAGGATTTTTTTCCTTCTGTGTTTGTGATTGGTAATCTTCAGTTTTTTGCTAACCATTCAAAGCAATATAGTAATTAAATCATGCTTTAGTTAGCATAAGTTCAGGGACGTTGGATAGTGAAATATCCTGTAGTAATTAAAACATAGACATATTTTTTTGTTGTTTCTGTTCATTATCATTAATTTAACATCTTTCTCATTGAAATTCTATTGTTCGATAGTATAATACTAAAATCACAATGATAATACAACAGGCATACATCATGTTATTTGACATAATTGCTATAGGAAAATCAATCGAAACAAATGTTCTTCCTGTCTTCATAGTGTAGGCAAATGGATTTATGTTTCTGTGTATCATTCTCAGGTTTGGAGATGGCTATTCTGTCAAGGTTTGGCTTAGTAAAGAAATAAGCTATCGAAGAATGATTTTGGACCGTCTACAACTGCATTTTCCTGGAACACAGTTTAAGGTACAGCTAAAACTCCTCATCATAGTATTTTTCTATGGCAGGATTAAGTATGGGTTGGTAAGAACAACGTATACACATTTGGATATATTGATCTTTTGGGAAAAAGTGTGTATGAGCATCCCTTTTATTTTCCTATTAAACAATTCTTAAAAATATGACTTGTGATATTGATTAAACTAACTCCAGTCATTTAGGCAACATAAATAAACAGGCCCTTTCTCTGAGTGAAAAATTCCTTTTGCTTTTATTATTGATGAAGTTGAACTCACCTTTGTGTTCACCTGAAGTGGGAGTACAGGGTAGTGACTGAGAATATTTGCTTTGATTGCTTTCTGATAAGGTCCATAGATGATAAGTCTCAGTCTTTACTGAGATTCTTTTATTTGGTAGAAAGCCTTAAAAAAGACCTATAGTAGTTAAATTTCAAGAAAAACTCTCAAAGGTCTTCAATTATTTTGTTAGGATTTTTTTTAACTTTTTCCATGTTTAGGAAAAGAATCATGTAGAACTATGACTATCTTAGATAGATATACCTGTTTGTGTATATGTTTATACATGTGTGTGTTTGCTCTGCCTTTTCCCAGACTGCATTGTAATAGCACTAGTCTGTTAAATTAAAAACCTGTAGCATAAAATTATCCTGAATTTATACATATTTTCTGAGATTAACAAAATGTCATCTCAGTACATGCACAAAATGTGTGCTCTGAATATGAACGTTTCTATGTGCCACCATGTAGACAAAATACATTCTTGTTTAAAAGCTCATATTTCTCATGTTAAACTGCAACGAGAGGCTATTAAAAGCAGACTGGTTATAAGAAAATGTAATCTCACCGTAATGTGCATTCACTTTTATCTGTTTCTATCATTTTTTCTATCATTTTTTCTTGTTTTAAGGGACAGCATCTTAACCTGCTCGAGTATCATGTACCACGAAGTCAGGGATGCTTAGCAGAGCTCTTCAGAGTCCTAGAGAATCACAAAGCTTTTCTTCAAATCAAACACTACTCCATTAGCCAAACCACATTAGAGCAGGTATTTTTTTCTTTTTCTTTCTTTGTTTTCTTTCTTCTTTTTTTCTTTCTTTGTTTTCTTTCTTCTTTTTCTTTCTTTCTTCTTTCCTCTTTCTTCTTTTCTCTTTCTTCTTCTTTTCTCTTTCTTCTTCTTTTCTCTTTCTTCTTCTTTTCTCTTTCTTCTTCTTTTCTCTTTCTTCTTCTTTTCTCTTTCTTCTTCTTTTCTTCTTTCTTCTTCTTTCTCAGCCTTCTGAAAGGCTGAGAGATCTGGAACTCTTTAGCCTGGAGAAGAGAAGGCTGAGGGGAGACCTTATTACTACTTACAAATATCTAAAGGGTGGGTTGAAGGAGGATGGAGCCAGACTCTTCTCGGTGGTTCCCAGTGACAGGACGAGGGGCAATGGGTGCAAGTTGGAACATAGGAAGTTCCGTTCCAACACACGGAAAAACTTCTTTACAGTTCGGGTGACAGAGCACTGGCACAGGCTGCCCAGGGAGGTTGTGGAGTCTCCTTCTCTGGAGATTTTCAAAACCCGCCTGGGTGCAGTCCTGAGTAATGTGCTCTGGGCAATCCTGCTTTAGCAGGGGAGTTGGACTACATGATCTCTAGAGGTCCCTTCCAACTCTGGAAACTCTTTGATTCTGTGATTCTTTTCTCTTTCTTCTTTTCTCTTTCTTCTTTTCTCTTTCTTCTTTTCTTTTTCTTCTTTTCTTTTTCTTCTTTTCTTTTTCTTCTTTTCTCTTTCTTCTTTTCTCTTTCTTCTTTTCTCTTTCTTCTTTTCTCTTTCTTCTTTTCTCTTCTTTTTCTATTCCCCTCCCCCCTGCTTTTTTTTTTTTTTTTTTTTTGTCTGAACATGCTGTCTATTGTAATTGTTGATGCAGTAGAATACTATATCATTTGCTGGATTACTCAAATGTATGCAGCAAGCCAGCTGTTGCAGGTCATCTCAGGTCTACACAGTAATTTCATGAACCCTATTGCTTTTACACTGGAGGTTAGCACAGTGAAAACATCACAATAAGCCACATATTGGTACTATGTGGAAGCATAATCAGTGATTAGATACATCTAGATCTGTGTGGGATGAAACGGTGGGACTGTGAACTGTCACCACCACAGTCCAAAAGGTGGGTTCTTACCAATGTCCTTGAAAAGGCGGAACCAGTCTCTGCAAATTACAGTAAACTTTAGACTTGCGGGACATTTTCCTTTGAGAATTTTCTTTTACAGTGTCATGCTGCACGTTAGAGAACAGTGGACAGAAGAGGTCCCACTTCTAAAGACTCTGAAATCCTATTTGGGCAGCAAGAATAGAATGGTGGCAAGGATGGGGTTTCTGGGTGGTTGTGAGGTGTTAGAGCATCTTCATATGCAACTTCTTGTTAAGTATTCTACAAACTGAGGGAGTCGCATCTAGTCAAAATATTATTTTTCCATGATAGATGGTGTGAACTTATTTTTTTTTTCCGTGTGCAAATCATTAATGAAATATTCTGATCTGTACTGATCTATTAACTGCTTGTAATGATCTATTCACTGAATGACTGAATATAAAGTAACTTCAGCCTGTTGATTGTTCAGGCATTATTCACTCAAGCTTACTTCCTCGCCATTATTCATGGTGATTCATCACCTCAGTAACCTACCATTGTTTCCTCTCTCTGACTAATGGAGTGTCAGTTTTAAAGAGGAAAATAGTTCTGAATAACAAACACCCTTATAATGCATCGCAAGTTTGTTTGCATATGAATATGATCATTTGAATCAAGACTAGCCATCTTTCTGTTCCTTCCTGTCAAATAGTTGTGTGGTTAAAAAGCAAATAAACCTTTCCTTAGTAAGATCTGTTAAAAAAAAACAACAAACAAACCAAAACCAAGGAGGTCCATCGGTTGTTGAATCATCACTCTGCAGTGTTCAGAAGTGTACTTCACCTTGAAATATCTGGACCCTCATCTGTGGTGGTTATTGACAGAAGCAGAGGGCTCAAGTTCCTTAGGTGTGTCATTTCAAAGCAAATTAAAACAATTGTTTCCCACTAACTTGTGCAACAGTAAAACATAATATTAATACATAAGTTAGTAACTCATTTTTATAATTCATCAACTGCTGTGTTAGCTGGAGAGGTGAAGAGGGACTATTTCTAGAGTTTAAAAACATATCTCTAGGGGGGTTCTCCCAACATAATCTATTAATTTTTGTGTCACAAAAGCTTAGGGTAACAACTGAAAAATGTCATAAGCTATGTGTCCAAAGTTTCAGTTCAAGTCCTGTTATTTTGAAAGTCCTACTTTTTTCATGTCTTACAGGTATTCATTAATTTTGCTACACAACAGCAAGGAGTCTCTCATTCTTCACAGGAATCTCCTGTTCATCATGACCACCTGCCAGTCTAGGCTCAGAATAGGAAACAACTTCAGCAGCATATATGTGTGTGTATGTTTGTGTATAAATACACACATTTTACATGCAAAAACTTCTTAGCTGTTAACAATTGGTGCGTGAGAAACAAACAGTAGAAGCAGAAGTGAGTTTGTATTTGTAGGCCAGAAAGAATGCTACCAGTTCTCAGTAAACCAAGAAACTGGTTACCTGCAGACCAAAAATCTGCCAAAAAGTAATGCTTCTTAATTAACTGAAAATTTATATTATAAATGGCCTAATTAATGCAGCTTTGTAAAAAAAAAAGAAAAAAAAGAAAAAAAGAAAAAAGCTTATCTGAAATGTCACAGTATTTTTTTTTGTGGTGGATCTACATTCGACTACAGTAATCTTCGTTGCATGCACACTTAACATCTAATTTTTACATGACAGTGCAAGATAAAACCATTGAATAGTAGCAATAGCTAGACTATCACCCAATATTTGTATTTAATAGCACAATTGAGAGCCTTTTGACTTCTGTATTAATTCAGTTCTGTGTTGTGACAAGGTAAATTAGCCTTTTTATTGTATAAAGGATGCACTATATTCCATAAGGTTTTATGTTAAAAAGGTTATTAGTGTACTAGTCTGCCTCCCAGTTATCTTAAGTAAATTTAACAAGGTTTCATAAATCATACTTGACAATGAGTTTTTCCCTTATGCCTGCAGGTTGCTGTTGGAGGAATTCTCAAGTATCTTTTGAAAGATCAATTTCCTTTTTCTCATCTTTTTCTTTCTTTTTTTCCAAAAAGAATGTCAAAATTCTCTTTAATGGGCATGTTAAAAAATAATAAGATAAGCATTCAGACATTGATCAATAAACTGTTCAATAAATGTATATTATGATGCTAGATACTTCAGACAAGGCCATGCCACAGCCTTCAGCCTATACGTGCATAAAAGAAGTAAACGTTTAATGAATAAAATCTCCGTGTGTATTGAGGGAGGAGAAAAAAAGTTATGAAAAAATTTTGGAGTAAACTGATGCCTCTTCCAAAACAAGTCTTTGGGGTTCCTGTGAAAAGTAGCTGATGCCTCTTTTATTGGACTATGTTGTCTGACAGTTGAAATTGTAGAACCGGTGACTTAGAAGTGAATTGCTGCAATACAATTCTGGTGTTGGCAGATGCGGGGGAAGTATACTTTGAGATGGAAGAATTTGATTTTAAAGGGACAATTTTGCAGAGCTGCTGCTCTATTTCCCTGCTGTACGGTGATGAAATATTAAAAAATATATATTTGTGTTTTAGGCTTTCCAAGCTGACTCAGAAGACTGTTTATTAAGGCTTGATTTGTTGGTGTGGTTTTGGCCCACTATGTGTTTTTAAAGTCATAATTCGGGTTCCTTATTTCTATAAAGGTGAAATTAAATACTGGAAAAATAAAAAAAGGCGGAGATTCACGGACTTGGTCTGCATGTATGTATGAATCAGAGTGAGTGAGCTTATGAAACTGCTTTATCATTAGAATGGTTTGGTACATACAGTCTGCTGTATAATATCAGAACTCTGTGATGCTTCTCAAGATCCAAAGCACTGAAGAGCCATTAAACCCCAACAATCACCATCCTGGTAGAAATGCCATGGCACAATGGGATGGCTGTGTTTGAGGTGAAACCAGTTATATTTAATTTCTGCAAGATTCTGGGAGTGGAAAGTTTCTAAGGTCCCCAATCAGAACAAAAAAAAGACTGATCTTACAAGGCAGAGTGTGCAAGAAGTAGTGGAGGTGAAAAAAAAAAGAAGGCAAATGCAGGAAATTTGGGCAGAAACAGGGGTATGCTATCATGAAAGTGTCCTGCTTAATTTCAGGATCTTGGGGTAAAAGAAACTGAATGTACAAAACACCACCAAGCATTTTTGAGTCATAGTCTGAAACCACTCAACAGGAGAACGTTTCTAGAGCTTTTGCTCAAATGAAAAACTAGAAGGGAAAGTATGGCAAGAACACGTGCACAGGACTTTTTTTTCCTTTCTCTATTGGCATGTCTAGATCTGTAAATTGCTGCCTTTATGATTGATTTGCTTTCTTTGTTTTTGTTTTGTTTTTATAAACTAATATCTCTCTCTCAAACATCACAAGTCCTTAAAAAATGAACTGCACACAAGGAAATTTAGAGGATGGATTTGGGAAAGGAGATGGTGCCAGGTCTCAGGGTGTAACGCTGCTGAGCCAGAAGGTCCCATTTGTATGAAACTGTGACAAGAGTGCCTATTCCTGCTTCAGAAGTGTGCCAGGGAGTTGAATTAATTAAACAGTCCTGCAGCTCACTTAGACCAAGGGAAGCATAAAAGCATACAAGACTCACTGTGGTGAGACTGAAAAACAGTGGCCTAGCTGAATGCTTAGATAGGGGAGTTTATTCAGGGTTTGTCTGTATAACACTAATTAAATGTCATTTTTTCTGATTAAAATGTGAAAGATTATAGTAGTTTAACAGATGAATACAGTAAATAAGGTTTACTTCAGATTGATGGTTGAGTAAATTCAGTTAACAGTGTTTTTCTCTTTTTAAATTGGTTCATATGCATCTCAGGAGACCCAATTTAATTCAGGCAAGCAGCAAACAATGTCTGTCTACCAATCCTTTATGGCTGAAGAAGGTCAAAATCTAATTGAGTTCCAGTGTACTGGATTCTGTTTCAGAGGATATTTTTCCTCTCCTTGACTTGCTGCATTCTTGAAGTATGTAAGTTTCAAGGAAATCTTTTGAAGATTTTTGTTTTTTGAATTTTTTTAAAAAATAAATTCCTAAACTAGGAAGCTGGACAAAAAAGGTCGTTTATACATTAATGATGAATGAATCCTGGAATTCATAAATCACACAGAAATATCTCTTCTTCTAACACCTCTGGATTTTGAATCAAAGACAGCTGAGAATTTTAAACAATAACTTCTCTTGTGAGATATTCGTTAGGGGAGCTTCATGCTTTTTCAACTGGAAATTTCTCTATGAAAGTGTGCCCTTCACCCTGAATAATAAAGTAAAATTAAGCTCAAAATTAGAAAAATCAGCTGAATTTCTGAACTTCTGAACACTAATAATGGAGAGATGATTTTCATGCTATTAAGGGACTATTCCACTATCTAAGCCAAAAGAAGGGCTTCTGTCAACCGTAGAACAGATTGTTTCAGGCTCTAATTTAATTTTCATACAATTATAGAATGAGGTGGGCAAAAATAAACTGTAGGTCTGAACGTTAAACCAAAGGATCACAAATTCAGTGGAGGTGGAGGGGTGGTGGTAGTAGTGGACAGGATAGCGAAACTCATGAATTGTCATTTTGAATCCTACTACATATTACATTTCTGTATAGATTTTTGTCCTGAAAAGAAAAGAACTTATTTCTCTGGATTGGTTCTTTCATGACCAAAGATGATAAATTTCCCCCACGGTAGTGAAAGATGTGCAATGTGATTTTCAGCAGAGAACTTGGGCACTTTTTGAGCTTGTTTGTCCTCACGAAATCCAAGTCATTGGGGTCTGAGATCTCATAAATTAGGGAGTTGAATCTGACTTGCTGGAACTGCTCAACTCCTAGATCAGTCTAAACCCAATTTAGGTAAGAATATTGTTTTCCTGGTCTTTTCCTAGTAAGTAGTAAAGCTGACAGTTTCTTTGATTCAGTTTAAAGTGATTTAATCTTTTTATGTCAGCACTTTCAATTTTTCTTTCTAAAGAATAGGGAGATCAAAGCTAGCGGTGCAAAGATCTTGGTTTAAGTGATTGAGAGCTGACTAGGTCAGACAGCTTTCCTGGATCTTACAACACCTAAAGAGAAAATGCTTCCTGAGTTGCGTGTTAGATACTTACATTACAAATAAAACTGATGCTGCAAGTGCAATGAAGGCGGGCAGGGGGTACGAAGCACAAATCACAGCTATCTTGTTCTGCAGAGGAGGCAACAGTCTGCTGCTACCAACAGGCAAGGTACTGCTGAATGTTTTAACAGATGAAATATGTTGACTATTTCCATGCTGAGTATCTCCATGCTGAATAATGATATGGATCACTGAAAGAAATAAAAAAAAATTTCTTCTTTATTAAATTTTGGTATCGTGGTGAATATTGTTTAACCAGTGCCCTCATGCCTGTTGCTACATGGAAATATATGTTGGGGTAAATTCTGGCTCCTGTCACAATGGCTCTGTAAAAGCCAAAATTAGAGACGTCTGCGCTGTAGAAGTTTATGCATGTCATTTGCTTAGACATTTGCTTTAGGTTCATATCTGCTTTCCCACAAAGTACAAATAGAAAAAAAGGAAGTATAAGCTATATAGGCAAATGATAAAGTCAATATGTGAAATTTCCTTGTGCAACTAATTTATTCCAGTTATAGGACACCATACACACATAATTGTGCCACCAGTTAGGCTGCTGATGAATGCCATGGACAATTTACCGAAGTGTCTTGGGATTCAGCTGACTATGAGGTACCCAGCAGGAAAAGAATGGGGATACTCCAACATGCTGCCATGTAAGGTAAGATCAAACAGGAGTCCTCCCACTCTCATATTGAGGGAATAAATGCTAGTTTGTAATTAAGTGTACTGCATACAATTCAATAGAAGTAACAGAAACACTTTTTTTTTTCCTTTAAATTGTGCTGAAATAGAGAAATTGCGAACTTTATTCTGTATAGCATTTTGACACCACTCAGTTCCTGATCTACATATCTTACTATATGCAATAACTAGACACCGCAAAAACCTCAATTGTCCCTTCAGACTTAAATCTTTTGAAACTTGATTCAAACTTTACAAAATGTGAAAGTTTGTGAGGTTTTTTCTTTAATATTACTCAGAGCTGGTTCTTAAGATTTTAATAATTATATATGAGAACTCAAGTGAAGGAGTGTGTGACATTTATTCTGAATCAAATGGAATATGCATGTAATGATCTAGCTGAGGAGCTGCAGTCATCTAGTACTTTGTAGCTAATGATAATTGTCTAATAAAGAGAACCTGAAATTGTTTTCTTAGAAGCCTGTTATTATGAATAATTCTGTTGGTAATATGTGAATCCAAAACAGGTTGAATCTAGAGAAGAGAGTACCTTCAGTATATGAAAGATAAGAATCAAGGTCATGCACAACATTTTGAAGGGTTGTTTTGTTGTTGTTGTTGTTGTTTTTTTTTTCCCCTTCCAAAGTTAACTATGTGCTTAGAAGTGACACTTTTAAATAACTAGTCATTGAAAATGGTTATTGATGACCCAGAGCTGAGACTGTATAGATGCTGATC